CCGAATTCGGCCAGATAGACTTTTCGGTGCCAGGCACTGCGCTATCTTTTGGAACTAATCGGCTAGGTACGGTTCTGGCGGTTCCACCTTGATTGAACCAATCCCTTGTTGCTGGAAGCCTGAACCTGCTCCTACGGACCTACAGTACTTAGACAGTAAGTCATACATATGCTGCTGCTGCCGCTGAGTGGGAAGCCTTCTTGCCCCCCCTTCCCCCATCCAAACCACTGGTCGATAGCCACATTAGGGGGTGTTTTTTTTTTTTTTCAATTTACCCTCGTCCAGTGTTCCAGATGGAAGTCGTCCGAGTTCGGACGATTGTTGCCCGAAGAGGATGATGGACGGATCTCTCGTCCCTGGAGGTTCCATGTAACTGGGCTGTTCGACGAGAGGGTGAAGTCTACCTGTACACAGTAATGTGTGGGAATCTGGGAGAGGATAAAATCTTTATCCGTTGTAAAGTCAAATCGCTAGCGATCGAAAGTGCCTGTCAGTTGATTTGCGAAAGCGCCTCTGACGACACTGCAGTGGGGATGTTTCACGTCGGTCGACTCAATTCTCTACCTGCCCTCATGTAGACGTTTTAAAGGCCTTCGAGAATCCATGATGTGTCGGTCGGTCATCGATGCTGAACGATTCGATCGAACCTTGCTAATCTCGAGTATCAATCGCCCTAGGGCCATTTTTTATCGGTGGCCACCAGTGTGAGACTACTAGTGGTCTTTTGAGTTGTGGTGTTCTGTACCTTACTTGAAGTGTCCACTTGTTTTGGATACCGAGCAGCTACTTGGCAGTTAGCTCGTTACAGGCAAAAGCAGTGTACGAATACTGTTGTACTTCACTTATCTACTCCGTACTCCGTAGTAACCTATGCTTTACTTGCGGTGGCGAGGCGCAGCAGCCCTGAGTAAACAGGAGACCTCCGAAATTCATAATAATAGAACCACCACCCGGATGAGAATAGCAATCGTCGTAATCAGGTGTATGTGTGTTAATTGTTCTGTAAATAATTCTCTGTGCTCTGTACTCCGTACTCTATACAGAGGTATTTCATCCTAGATGAAGTATTTTGTATCGACTTTGCGGACAAGTAAAATTTCCAACTTTTGCAGCCAGGACTAACCTAACCCCGACCGGAGATCGACTTGGGACCGACTGACTTGAACTCGACTGGGTCTCCAAAAACCCACTTTTTTCGCCCTCTCTTTCGTTCGTTCCCAGTCATTGAGTGACTTTTCAGTTTCGCCCGGGAAAAGCTCGCGCTAGTCCTGGTCGGGAACGGCCCTTTTCTTGAGTGAGTCCTCAGGCAGCCCAGACGCCCTCTTCTACTAAGTACTCAGTAAGTTAGTTACTAGTACGGCGGGAGTAGTCTCACCTCATCCTCGCCCGCTCCCCGGGCCTCCTCCCTCCCTCTTCCTCCTCCTCAAACGGCTAGTAGTGATTCCCTCCCTCTCATTCATTCAACCTCCACTCTCACTACCGACACCACCACCACCACCACCATCCTCCCTTCTACCCTCCCAACCTAACCACCATTACCCACTACCTTCTACCATCTCCATCTCGGTTCCGTTTTTATTTCGCCTTCTCGACTATCTCTCTCACTCGTCCCCTCTCGACAGTCCCTTAGGCACTTTCCCACCCTCCCATCATTCTTTCGCCGACCGTTCTCTCCTTTCTTCCCCCCCCCCTCGTCACTCTTTTCGGCGCCTCCCATTCTCCCCGGTTCTCAGTCAACTCAGGTGACTGACCCGGTTTCCTCTTGAGAGGTTGACCAAATTAGATAGGTAGCCCGACAGGGCTGTCCATCGCCATGTCTGGGCGTCTATCTTCCGACCATTCTCGCTCTTTCTCACAATCCTCTCAACGATCCACGCCACGCTTTACCCCGGTGAACGAAGTCGAGTCAATGCATCGTCGCTCAGTTTCGGCTCGCTCCTCCAATCCCAATGTCTTTTCCGATGAATACTCACTCGAACCCCTTGACTCTGAACACACTACCTTCCCTTCTCGACGTCCATCGACCTCTTCCACCAATTCCTCCAATACCTTACGCGGATCAGTGCCTCAACAGCAACAATCGCAGCAGAAAACCTACAATACTATCCCCATCGATGCGGATCTGACGGAGGACCCTTTTGGGGATGAGGCACGAGTGTCGTTCGATGAAACTCCGCACCGGTCAAGTCTTCCTCCTAAGGGGGTGGACTTTGCGAATCGCAATTCCGTCGCGTCTACTACACCTTCCACCACAGCTCGCAGTCAAAGTATCTCGTCGCGCTTTTCGATACCTGTTCGGGCCATGAGTCCCTACACTGGGGCAACCGGTCCCAGCCATCCGTATGCGATGTACCCGCAGGTCGGTGTCAGTCGCTCTCCAAGTGTAGCGACCGCATCAACTTTACGCCCCGTGGACCAACCGTTGGAAGATGCCAGTGGACCGCAACATCCGTATGCGATGTACACCCAAAATGTGGTTCCGGAGGAAGGCATGGATAGTGCCCTGGACAATTCGATGATAGAACCTCCTATGATGGACAACTCCATGGTCCCCCTTGGCTTTCCCGGCCACAATCAAGCCTACCAACGACCGCCCGGTCGGGCCGATGATGACGTCGGGGATTTAATTGGCCCCGACGGACACACCGAACAGCTTCCACCTTACTCTCGCTATCCTGAAAATGCCGTCCCCAAGGTAGAGGGGACGTTTGCGTCCGTCAACGATGCTGGCATCACGTCGGACGAGACCCTCCACAATGAGCGTGCAGGTCCACCCATGTCGGAGGTTACATCGACTAATGTGCCTTTGGAGGAACCAAACCGGATGACTGCACGAAGTAACTCACAATCGGAAGAGCCCCCGCTGACCGGAATTATGGCATTCGAAGAGAAATTGAAGAGAAAAGGTAAAAAGAAGGCCTGCTGCGGACTACCAATCTGGACGATTGTGTTGGTGGGGGTGGTAATGCTTGTTGGAGGATGCATTGGAGGTGTCATTGGTGGTGTGCTCGGGGCGAAGAAGGCAGCGGATCAGGAACACAAGCAGCCCAACGGCCCGCATATTGTCACGTCAACTGTTACCCCCAAGATGGACGCGACTCCGGTTACTTCTACTCCGATCAACTTACTGGCCCTGCCTACTGGCCAGTACGTTATTCCGGCGTCTCCGAAGAACCAGTCCAAATTTTGCGTTGCGGAGTCGGATTACCGAGTTACATGGTCCTGCATGAATTCGGGAGATATCCCTGTCGCTGTTGGAGGCACAGACGGCCAACGTTCGATCACGTTTGAAGATACTACGTACTCGTCAAGTCTTAGCTATGGAGCTCAAGCACCGGTTCTTTCCAACCCGACACAGAATCTTTCAATGGCATATGATCTCAACGATGCCAGTTTTGGGCCCGCTTTGCACTTTTGGACGACCTTCGACAAGCTGGTCGTGGTGCCTCAAGACTCATTCCCAACGCACGCGTCATCGAAACGCTCATTGTCAGAGGATGAACTGTTGGCTACCATGCTTGTTCGCAAGGATGTAGCCAAAGCAGGAGATAAGCCGTGGTTCTGCTGGTGGAACAGTACCATAATCGAATTCTTCTTGTACATCAACGAGACCACCAAGGATGCCCAATACAGCGCGACCGCCGCGTCATCGAGCTACGTTCAAGCTACGGGAGGTAGCTCGAGCTCGAATTCAGGCTCTGGCTCGAGCTCGGGTTCGGGGTCCAGTTCCAGTTCCGGCTCTGGTTCCAGTTCAAACACAAACACGAATTCTAAGCGGGATGCAGTATCCGACTATCCCCGCCGGATCAAGATGGAGGAGAAACGAGAATACCCCGGTGCCCCTAGTCCTTATTGTCAACAGATGCAAGTGCTTGATGACGGGTCAGTCGGTCCCATATCCCAGGAGACTGTCCAGGTCAAGGAGTTACAGCCTACTCCCACAACAACGATCCAAGTCACCGGCTCAACACAAACATATACCGCGAAGGCTGAGTACCAGAGCGTCTGCTACTGCGTGTCATTGACCGATTGATGTAGCCTATCTGGCATCTCCGGGCTGCCAGCCTATAACGAAGCTCTTGTTTACCTGCGGAACCGAAGGCGTTGGCGTCACTAAAATTGAGGGGGCCGCTTCCATCCAGCTCTTTACGTGCATACGAATGTTTGATTAGTCTCTCAAGGTTAACCTACCTCTTTTTCACCTTGGGCATGAAGGATGTTCCGATACATTTTGTTATCTTATGGCGTGCATATAATGTATTCCAGCTGGGTCTTATCTGTCCCGGTGGTTGTTTGTTTCACTCTAATGCGGCCGACAAATCGCCGGCCGCTTCTGCATCGCTCTGGATAGTTTCGAAGGCTTTTTTTGGGCGTTTATATTGGGAAGGGGGGTCAAACGGTGCAAGGAAGGACAGCGTACATTGCGGCCAGGAGACTCTTTCGTTCAATCTCTGTTTAAAAGGCCTGCGTATGTCCAGGAACCGGATATCCTCTTCATCATTATTTTTTTTTACTTTGACCCTTCCTTAAGGATGGGTATGTTCTCGTTGAGAATTTGGTTGGCATTTCGACATGTTCTGGTAATATGGTCTGAATCTACTATTTGCTTTAGGCGGGTGCGAAGCGGAAACAACCTCTTCGTGGACTGTGCTACAAGCCATTAACCTCACATTCATAATTCTTTTGCGCCCTTACGTGCCCGAATTAGCCAGGGGCGATGCAACAGTGGTTGCGCAATGGTCGGGTTGGGGTTTGGGAAGATGACCGGATGCAAACGTCATCGTCCGCAACCCACCTCCCCTTCGAAGTCGATCACCACTTGATCATCCGGGGGCGACTAAGCCATCTGCTACTAAATAAAGTGGGCAGTCCCTAAGGTGCTGAAGTTAATCAAATTCTGGATCAATATCTGAACGAACGCAATTCTACATTGTACATTACCTATTGTTCTCACCTTCTTTACCTTCGTGTCACTATTCATCTCACCTCACACCAGCATCATGGCTTCCATACTTCGCAGCAGCAGACTATCCCTTCGTGCAAGCTACTCTCCCTTCATTCGACCAGCATCGCGTCTTACTTCCACTTCCAAGACCGTCCAGCCCTGGCGCGGCTACGCTCATAGCTCCTACGGCGGCGAGGGCGAGACCCAGGCTGAACAGCCCAACACCTCCCGCAACGAGCCTACTCGAGACCTCGAGCATCCGGGTAAGTAGCTTTACCTTCAAGGATAAGGAACAAAGCACTTTGATGTGGAATAGAATGAACTAATGCCTTCGTCACAATAGGCCCGCCCGCCCCAGACGTTGGTGGTTCGTCGAAGAAGTCCCAGCAGTCCAGCAACAACAGTGGCAGCAAGGACACCGGTCATGGCACTGGCACTGGCGTCGAAAGCAAGAGTCACAGTAAGACCACACCATCCAACAAGGCCAAACCGACCATCACGGACGGCGAGAATTCGCCCAATGCAGAGATCGATGGAACAGTGGGAGACAACGCATCGGAGGATGTCAAGAGACACAACCAGGAGATGGACCAACGGTACGATCACGCGTATAACCAGGTGAAGAAATAAGTAAAGGTTGAGAGTTGTAGCGCATTGAGAGACGAATTGTCCATGTATTTCTATGTACCTTAACGGATCTCACGGATTAAAGTTCCTGCTTTTATTTTTTTTTTCTTTTTGTTCTTGAAGTACTGAAGAATCAACTGCGGGCAGAAGTGAGGGTGTGCAGATGTAAGCGATGTAAAACGACGACGACCGCAGGAACGGCGAGCTAAGTTAGCCAGTTGAACCGAGGGTGAAACAACTGGACAGTCTTTAGTCTTACTGCTGGACTGGCCACGTTGAATGGATGCGAATGCGGATCTCCCGCACCAGTCAGTAGTCGTCTGTCCGTCCTCGTCGCCAAGTCCAGCCCGCGCCGCGCGCTTTCACTCTTTCACTCTTACTCCTCCTCTCCCCAGCACTTTGCTGACCTTCACTCCTTTTCCCTTTTCCCTTTTCCCTTCCTGATCTTATCTATCTTTTTGTGTCTTGGAGCACGGATCCAATTTCTTGACCAATTCGCGGATCATTTACTGGCAACATTCACAAAACAGAATCATGGGTGCCTCGACGAACAAGTACTCGGTCATCCTGCCGACCTACAATGAGCGGAAGAACCTCCCTATCATCTGTTGGTTGTTGGAGCGGACGTTTCGCGAGAAGTGCGTTTATTCCCCCCATTCTCATCAATGATCTTTCTCCCATTGTTATCTCCAATGGAGAGTAGCTTCCTCGCCTCGCCTCCATTAAACCTCCTCTTCTCTCCTACCTACCTACCTACCTCCCTTCCCACCCCACATCCTGTTCCCCTCCCTCCCAAGTCCTCGGAAACAAAACTGACCACCCGGCCCCCACAAAAACAGCAACCTGAACTGGGAAGTCATCATCGTGGACGACGGGTCCCCGGACGGCACTCTGGAGGTGGCCAAACAGCTGCAGCAGCACTGGGGCGCGGAGCACATCATCCTGAAGCCGCGGGCGGGCAAGCTGGGGCTGGGGACGGCGTACATCCACGGGCTGCAGTTCTGCACGGGCAACTACGTGATCATCATGGACGCGGACTTCAGCCACCACCCCAAGTTCATCCCGACGATGATCGACATCCAGCGCGAGACGGACGCGGACATCGTCACGGGCACGCGCTACGCCGCCCGCGGCGACATCAAGGGGGGCGTCTACGGCTGGGATCTGTTCCGCAAGTTCACCTCGCGTACGGCCAACCTCATCGCCGACGTCATGCTCATGCCCGGCGTCAGCGACCTGACGGGCTCCTTCCGCCTGTACAAGAAGAGCGTGCTGGAGAAGGTTATCCACAGCACCCAGTCCAAGGGGTACAGTTTCCAGATGGAGATGATGGTCCGCGCCAAGGCGATGGGTTTCAAGGTCGCCGAGTGTCCGATCACGTTCGTGGATCGTTTGTTCGGCGAGAGTAAGTTGGGCGGGCATGAGATTGTCGAGTATTTGAAGGGAGTGATGACTCTGTGGTTGAAGGTTTAAATGGATGCTTTTCGGGAGATGTCTTCTGTTTTAAGGGGGATTGGAGCATTTGTTTCCCGACTGCTCTGTTTTTTGGGGGTTGACTCTATCGACTTTGATCATTTTTTTTACCATCTATCATCTAACTATACCCTCCGTTGTCTATTCTTGTCGTCAAAATTCCCGTTGTCGCCCTCTTCTAGTATGTACATTTTTAGAACTTCTCCTCCCCCCCTTGGCTCTTGGCTCAATGGAAAAGATATCGGTGCAGATAACTCTCCACAGCGTTTAGGTTGGCTTCTCAACTCTCTCCAAGAACCGACTGACCCGATGCACCAGCTCCTCCTGCCCAACGTCACTCACATTATGGCTCGCCCCCTCAATGGCTGCACTGCCCTCATTATCCCAGATATTCTGCCCCCCACCATTCACGGCCTGCTTCCACCTCCCCATCAACCCCGGCACATCCACCCAGGGGGGAAGATACTCGTCCGCCCCCGAGAACAGAACCATCAGCCTCCCCTTCAAAAGACTCCTCTCCGCCACCTTCCCGAACGTCGCCGCGAGACTCTCATCCCCCAGATCCGAACTGAACAGATCATCCGCGCTCGGCCGCTGGGGACTGTCGGGACTGGCCAGGCTCCAGAACCGCGCCGCCGTGACCGGCGTATTCTCGGGCAATCCCACGCGGGCGAGCAAGTCCATGGGCAGGAGGAAGTTGGCGGGCCCGGTGCGCGCCATCTGCACGAGTTGCTCGTAGGCGCCCCGCACTTCATTTTTCTGGAAGCCGTCTGCTTCCTGGATCTTGACCAGCAGCGCCTCGCGATCCGAGACGGGCGCCTGCATGATCGCCCCATCGACCGCCGGCCGGTTTCGGGGCTGCTGCGAGTGCAGGTAGTGCAGGACGTCCTGGCTGCCCGTCGAGTGGCCCATGATGACGATCTTGCCGGCGGCCTTGTGCGGCAGGCGCGTGCGGATGAACTCGATGCACTGCGCGATCTCGGCGACGTCGGTGTCGAGGCTGCCCGTGCCGAAGCCGCTGTAGGAGCTGCTGAGGAGGAGGTTGAAGACGCTCCAGGTGCTTTTGGGTGTCAGGGTCTGCGCCAGGGTGCGGACGTAGGGGACCGTGTGCAGGCCGTCGGTGAGGCCGCCGATGAAGAGGAGGGTGTTGGGCTTGGGGTCATTGGTGGGGGAGCTGAATTCGAAGGCGACGAGGTGGGGAGCCTTTTTGTGTAGGACAGTGTTAGGTGGGGGGGGGGGGGGTTTGGGGAGTTTGTGAGGTTAGGGTGGACGTACGTATTCGTGGAGAATGCCGGGGGGTGAGTGGTTCGGGGAAGACATGGTGATTGTATGTGTGTGAGTGTGAGTGTGTTGTCTGGTTGATGGCGGTGGTGTGGATGAGATTGTAGGACTTTTTGGTGGAAGCAGGTAATTTGGGTCGGTTCAGTAGTTGGAGGACTTATCGTTATCGACGGAGGACGACCCGGTGGTGCCAGTGATGCGGTCACTGAGCCAGGGCGGGGTTCCAGCCCCGATTCGGGTGTAGAAGGTCGGAGCTGTCAGTTCGGATTGCGATCCAGTGCATTAGTGTAGAGCCAGTCATTCTTAAATTTTACCGGGCAATAGCGGGGTACAGACAGTACAGACATCTCTCATTACATCTTTCCTTATCATACCAGTCTTCATATCTCCAAATCATCCTACTCATACTCATACCTAGGTAGATAGTATGTTGATACCCCAACTCATAGCTCCCCCCGCCAAGACCTCTAACCCAATCAGGTAACCAGCATTACTCCGCGGGCGCCCCCCGAGCGATTCATCCGGCGCATATTTTCTCCAGGCTCGTCCGCTGCACTGCACAAACTCGCCTTCACTTTGACTCATGACCCCACAATATTTCAACATACTCCCCACAGCAATGAGGCCTCATCTGCTATAACATAACTCGGCGACTATCCCAAGCACAAACTCAGTTGAGCCGTGATTTGGCCCTGAGATCCGCAATGCGACGACCCGACTGAAGGGACTTTCGGCAGACAACTGACCTAACCTCACAACCAAATCCTCCTGCAGAACCACCACCACCACGAGTACATACCTGCCTAGCTGCCTACCTACCTGATTTACCGCAGAATTCGACCCCCATCACCTACACAATCATGACCCATCCCCGCCGAAGCAATCGCACCTCCGGCGCCAGAACGAAATATATAGAGGACCCGTTCGTGGCGGCCGGAGTTAGCGATGACGATAACGACAACGACCCGGAAGAGGATCAACAGGATGATAGTGATGGAGGTGACGTATCGGTAGCAGCGGCGTCGCAGAAGCAGAAGCAGAAGCAGACGAACAAGAACAAGCACAAGGGGAAAGGGAAAGGGAGGAGCACACGCGCGTTCGCGGCCGTGAACGATAAATCCTCCGATGAGGACTTTGAGACGCCGGACGCTGGGAACTTTGATGATGATGATGATGACGATGACGACGAGGAGTTCCGGGATGAAGAAGAGGCGGAGGAGGTCGAGGGTGATGAGGACGAGGAGGATGGTAGTGAAGCTGGAGGCAATGTGAGGGCGAGGACTGCTACTGCTGGTGGCGGGCCTTTTCGTCGGAAGTCACGCAAGGCTGGTGGTACCTCTGCTGGTGTTGGTGCTGGTGCTGGCGCCGCCGCCGCCGCCAACTCTAGAACACCTAAGCGACGACATCCGGATGGCAGTCTGCTGCTGACCGGCGATGCGACGCATTCGCGCGGCTCGTTCAACCCCCTCGAACATGTGGGCAAGGCGGTGCATCTGCGGGTGATGTTTGGGACGGACAACCGGGATCTGTTGGCGATGATCTACGCGCGCGAGCGGTGGGGTGGCGGGGTGGATTCGACGTTTCCGACCCGCGAGGCGCTGCAGAGGGCGAGGGACGGCGCCGACTATGGCTATGGGTTGACCTTTGGGGTCGAGCCCGACCTTCTGAAGTTGGAGAGCGCCCGCGGCTGGGACTGGTACTATACCGACGCGGTCCGCGAGCGGTTCCGGCTGCGGCAGCGCGTGGCGAAGCTCGGGGAGGCGGCCGCGCGCCGCAAGTACCTGGCTCGCTCGCGCGGGGATCATACCGTTCTCCTGGGGCCCGTGGATGACCAGAAGGAGTTCACGCTGGGCCAGCATCAGGTGCTCGATTTCGGCGACGCGTGGGCCAGCAAAGCCAAGGCTGGGTCGGGCTGCCATAAAGTCCGCGAGGGGTGGCTGCTGAACTTCGGGAGCAAAGTGCAATGTCTGGCCTGGGCGCCGAATCAGTTGGGTCGCACGCAGTATCTGGCGGTCGTGGCCCCGATTCTACCGGACCAGAAGGCCAAGGTCCCCGATCCGCTGAAGGACCAGGCCGCGCCGGCGTTCAGGCCCTCGGCGCCCTATCCCTGCGCTCTGCAGATCTGGGCGTTCCAGGCTCAAGAGTCTGAGACGTTGGCGCGGAAGATCGATCTGGGACTTCGGCCGCATTTGCGCTTGGCGCTGTGTACGGATTGGGGCGATTTGCGCCGGTTGGCCTGGTGTCCTATGCCTCGCAGTCCTCGAGACGAAGACGACGAGGACGAGCGCGAGACCCTGGGGCTTCTGGTGGGCATCTGGACCGATGGTTATGTGCGAGTCATCGACGTGAAAATCGGCCGGGATACCAAGAAAGCCGAATTCTGTAGGTTCTTTGCTCCTGTCCTTTTGGTGGCTGTCGGTATACTAAACCCCCCTTCCTAGATCAGGTACATTCCACGATCTTCGAGGCGAAGCCGCCATCGACTGTTTGTACATGCGTGACATGGCTCTCTCCAAGCGATATTGCCGTCGGCTGTGCCAACGGGTATGTCGCAATCTGGAGCATCGCGCCGTCCTCGAACTCGTCCTCGAGTCCCGCCCCTTACTTTTACCAAGCACTTCACTCCACCTGGGTTCTCAACATCTCATCCGCCTACCCTACGTATCCCCATTTGATAGCCACTACCTCCATGGACGGCGACACCAGGCTTACGTCCGTCGTCGACCCACCCAAGGACCAGGTGTATACGAATCGCATGCGGGTGGGCTCGACCCATCTCTCGTACTGCCCGCCGCTGCAATCGTTCCTCTCTAGTGACGAGAACGATTTCGCCCGTCTGCTCGCCGTCCGGCGGTTCTACACCTCGACCGCAGTCGCCCGACTGCCGAGCCCCATCTCGGCGCTGGCGCCGTGCAGCTACTGGCATCCCAGCGTCCTGTTTGGCTGCGTGGGGGGCACGGTGCAAGCCACCAACCCGCTTCGGCGGGTGCTGCACTCCAAGGAGAAGCAATGGCAACAGAACTGGTTCCAGCATGAATGGGTGCGTGGCCCGCACGATACCGGCACCGGGGTCAGTCGCTTCTACGACGGATACCGCGCCGAGAGTGTCAGCCTGCTGCGCAACCTGATCGGGGATCGCAAGCTGGTCAACGGGATGGCGATGATCACGATCTACGAGGAGGAAACGCACGTTACTGCGCTTTCGTGGAACCCCAACCAAGCATGCGCCGGATGGGCCGCCGCGGGCTTGGGATGTGGCTTGGTCCGAGTCGAGGACCTGGTTCTGTCTTGAGCGTAGTTCAGCTTTTCACTACGAGAAGTCAGTTCCATCTCTCTTGCGCAAAAGGGCTCGTCTTCGACCGACGAGGAGCCGAAGATCGGATCCGAGTAGGACTCGACACCGCCTCGTGTGGACAGTTCATCCCGACGGACGCATTACGTAGACCCTGCCGAGCCGAGCTCTGCACATGTCGGGCGTGCATGCAAACGACACGGAATCTTGCATGGGGGTAAACTCTTCGCCTACCGCTGACTATAGGCGGATCGACGAGCCGCGCTTCACCTACAGTCACGGCTCGAGCCCCCATAGCCACGAAGGTTCATCCATGCCCGCAGAGCTGGACTGCATATTACGCAAGATAGGCACAGGCTATAAATGGAACAACAGAACACAACTATACATCAAGAACCTGCCTCCACAATACAGCTGTACTTCCACCAGCCCCACTTCGATCAAACTAATTCGCTCATCTAGTCGTGCGGGTATGTACCCTTTGAAGGGTCACATAGTAGCTGATGTACTATGTACGGTAGACAACCTATCTGTGTACTGTGCATGGTGTCCCTGGTCATGTGTGGGTCATGACAAGTGTTTTCATTGGAACCATCTGGTGGATTGGGAGTGTTGATCAAGACACCGCCTCTATCAAGAATAGAATATCAGGACACACCCACATCACCCGGTTGATCAGCACCCCGAGAAGCGAAGTATATCCCTCGGTATTGCGGTTTTCTCATGACGTAGGAGAGGAGGATCTACACCGCAGAGAACATGCTGGGGAGACGGCATAGTCGAGGAGACTGTTAGTTGATTGATAGAGGCGGTGATAGTCGTAGGGGGAAATCTGGACTTGTGATCAACATTGTGTAACTGTGAGTTGTTGCTTGTAAGTGTAGTGTTAGGTAGTTTAGGTAGTGGAGGAAAAAGGTGATCAACCTTCAATGCAGCCGTTCTGGAGCGGCAGATCCTCGGCCCACCGCCCGTCAACTGTCGAATAACAAACAACAACGTCATCTGCCACAGCCGCCCGTGTGCCCGCTGCCCAGCCACATCAAAAACAAACACTCTTCACCTTCTAGGTCTATACAGCATCCAGCATATCGCATATCGAACTGTTCAATTCGTGCTGTGGTATAGTCAAAAACTGCTCTGACTCTCTGAGCGACCTCTGGATTTGCATGTGCCTTGCCAAGATTTCCCTGACTCGTACTAAAATTAAGCGTGGTGCAGGGTCAATTGCCAATCGCCCAAAAACCAACGGGGCTGGCAGGCAATGAGGGCTCCATTCCCACTTTCCCAGCCTCCTTTGACAGCAACGAGGATGCGCCAGCCTGCACTTTAATCTTCCGCCCACTGGGCCCGGCGTGCCGTCTATGATGGAATAAAGATCTAATTCTCTGGGTCCAGGTGGATCTTTTTTTTTTTGTTTTCTCTTCTTCGATTTTCTATGTTGTTTAGGCTACCAACTTTAGTTCCAGGGCCCTGTGGTGGATCGGTGTGTGTTTCTACGGTCTCCATCCAAGTGATAAATGAATCGGTTCCCTCGAGCTTTGGCTTCTAGCTCTCTTCTAATTCAATTCACCACTGAGATACCAGTGTAAGACATTTCAGTGTCTTCGATATTCAAAGCAGAAACGTCCTTGTGCCTCTTCCTCCCTCTGGTCAACCTCTTCAACCATACCCAACATCAACCCTACACATCACACACCAACATGTATACCGCCGCTTTGCTTCTCGCTCTCTCCCTGACTGCCCAGTCAGTCCCGGTCTTCCATTCTCAAGCAAACGACACCATTGCTCGCAGAAATGAACTGCCATACAAGGTCGTCGACGTCGCCGGCACTGCCGCTCCCACCGTCGAGACAGTCACCGCCACGCCCTCGCCTCCCGTGACGGTGACCGTCACTGAATATCCTTCCTCCACCCCAGCTCTGGAGCCTTTCTTTCTTTCCTCTTGGAGTGTCGGTCCTCGGGTGACAGGCATCCCCCACCCCGGGCCCCAGTTTGCGGCGCGTGGACTCAACAGCACAGAGCACCGCCACCGTCGCCATGCGCAGGCCAACACCACCGTCACCGAACCCCCCGCCAGCGGCGAGGATTCCATCACAGTGGCCAAGCGCAGCAACGACACTCTGCCCCGTTCCTTGGGTGACCACAACGGAACCGAGCATGAGCATGAGCATCACGCCGAGCACAAGGACGACGACATCTCCGCCAAGGCTCTGACCCAGCGCGCACTCACCGGCACCGAAGCAGCCAGCAAGCACACCGGCAGCAGCGCCAACGAGACCCAGCCGGCCCGCGCGGATCTTGCTCCTGAGCATGCGGCCGCCTTCGCGAGACGTGCACTCACCACCGTCGACGCGAAGCTCGCCCCTCAGAACTCCAACAACACCGCGGAGCCGTCCGACGCGACCAAGCGCGCAACCAACACCACCGAGGCTGCTACCAAGCACTTTGCCCGAAGCTTGAACGGCACCTCTCTGCACGCTCGGAACGGCACTGCGGGTGACTACTGAGTTATCTCTGAAGGGTCTCTCTTTCTTGGCTTCTTCTCTCACTAAGTATATGGTTTTTTTTATGACTGGTGCGATCCAATGCGATCGCTACGATACACGGTACATGGCAAGCAAGCGTTCTTTTTTTCTTGTTGATCTATGGTATATGGTCCCGGGTTTTATGTGTCATGACTGGCATGACGATCGTTTCTCATGAGGATTGGCATATCTGGGGCGTTGCGGCTCTATGGTTTTATGATTTTATGGTTTATGGTTTTATGGGTATTTATTTTTGGCGGTGGCTTGATAATTACTACTGTACTGTACTTAGCTCTTTCTGTCACATACAATTTGTTAGATGTGGGTGGAGCAGTACATTCATGCGCTGGTAGATAGAGTGTTTTAGTTCTGTTGGAGTCAATAGAATGGAATTGAGTGTATAGAATGATTGATCCGAATCATGATAAGAAACCCAGAGCGGTTAGCTTGCCTCGTGCCCCCGTGACGTACGATCCCGCCGGGCGGTTCGTTTACATAACCATTTACTGACTTAACTTACCGACTGGCCGGGTACAGTCAGTCTCCCAGTCCTGATCGCATGTCCGCATTCACCTTCCCCGGCTTCTTGCTCATCTCCACCCTCGATTCTCCTGTCTATCGACCGGGAGCCGTCTAATCTCGTGTGCTCACCTTCGCGCATCTAAGGAACTCACTATCTCCGTCATTGAAACCCTTGCTCCGGCCTCCCCTCCCCCTTTCCGGCCAGGTGTTTACCGCTCCGACTTTCTCAACACCAATTCGAATCTACCCCCCCCTCCTTCCTTCACGCCTCCCCATCCACACAAAGCAACAAACATGGCTACTCCGGTAGCACCCCCCGAAGACCAGACTCGTCTCCTCGAGGAGGCATTGGGCGTGGTGCGTCAACAGTCGCAGATGATGCGGAAATGTCTAGAGACCCCCGGCAAATTAATGGATGCGCTGAAATGCGGGTGAGCTCCCCTCCTCCCCAGGCAGCAATGGGAAGACCAATTGAACATGCGAACACCAAAGCATCGCGCAACACGCACAAGCAACAAACCAGCTAACTCAGTCCTACACCTTCCTTGTTTATCGACAGGTCTACATTAGTTTCCGAGCTCCGCACCCCTAGTCTGGGCCCCAAGCAATACTACGAGTTATATATGGCGGTCTTCGACGCCCTGCGACACCTCTCCGTGTACCTGAAAGAGAACCACCCGGTCAACCACCTGGCCGACCTGTACGAGCTCGTCCAATATGCCGGCAACATCATCCCGCGACTCTACCTCATGATCACCGTCGGGACGGTGTACATGTCCGTGGAGGACGCCCCTGTCAAGGAGATCATGAAGGACATGATGGAGATGAGCCGCGGCGTGCAGCACCCCATCCGCGGCCTGTTCCTGCGGTACTACCTGTCGGGCCAGGCGCGGGACCACCTGCCGACGAGCGCCGGGGACGGGCCCGAGGGCAACCTGCAGGACTCGATCAACTTCGTCCTGACCAACTTCGTGGAGATGAACAAGCTGTGGGTGCGCCTGCAGCACCAGGGCCCGTCCCGCGAGCGCGAGAAGCGCATGCAGGAGCGCCGCGAGCTGGAGTTGCTAGTCGGCAGCAACGTCGTGCGCCTCAGTCAGCTGGTCGATCTTGAGGGCTACAAGTCCGGCATCCTGCAGGCGCTGCTGGAACAGGTCGTGCAGTGTCGGGATGTGTTGGCGCAGGAGTATCTGCTGGAAGTCATCACAAAGGTCTTCCCGGACGAGTTCCATCTGCACACCTTGGACCTCTTGCTCTCGGCGATCTCTCGGCTCAACCCGCATGTGGACTTGAAGAAAATCGTGATCGGGTTGATGGACCGCCTGTCGAGTTATGCTGCCCGCGAGAGAGAGGCTTCCGCGGATCCGGAGGCACGCAAGCTGAAGGAGGAAGAGGCTGTTACCAAGTTGCTCGAGAATCTCAAGGTGTCCGAAGAGACGAAGGCGGAGGAGCCGGCGACCGACGCAGAGGCAGCCCAGGAGAATGGTGTCGAGCAGGCCAAGAAGGACAGCGAAACGGCGGAGGAAGGCGCGCGGAAACCAGCGAATGGCGATGCAAAGGCACCCGAGGCCATCCCTGCCGATGTCAAGCTGTATGCCATTTTCTATGATCAAGTGGTCAACCTGATCAAGAGCCGCGGCCTCCCGATTCAAGACACCATGGCGCTTCTTCTGTCGCTGGCCAACCTAGCGCTCAACACCTACCCCGACCACTTGGAATACGTCGACCAGGTCCTTGACTTCGCGGCGAAAGAAACCGCCGCCTATACCGATCACGCCGACCTGCACTCCGCTCCTACGCAACAAAATCTCCTGCAAATTCTCACCGCTCCCCTCCGCTCTTACGTTTCGATCTTCACGGCCTTGGCCTTGCCTCATTACATCCCACTTCTGACCACCCAGTCTTACCCCACGCGGCGATCTGTCGCGGGCGAGATCGCTCGCAGCCTCCTCAAGAACGGAACCCCGATCACCACCACAGAGAACCTCGACCGTGTTCTGCAGGCTTTGAGAGTCTTGATCAAGGAAGGGACCCAGCAGTCCATGGGCTACCCTGGGTCTCAGCGACGAGGAGAGACGGAGGAGACCATTGAGGAGCAAGGGTGGCTTGCGAGATTGGTACATTTGATCAAGGCAGACGACAATGATACGCAGTTGAAGGTTTGTCCCTCGTTTTTTCCTCTTCTCACGACAGTGCCCTAATGCATCTTGCAGCTTCTACAAGCGACCCGAAAAGCTTACCTCGACGGCAACGAGCGCATCCGCTACACCACACCAGCCCTAATCACCTCGTCGATACGCCTGGCGCGTAAACTCAAGGCTCGCGAGCACTACGATGACAACTGGCAGTCGCAGTCTTCGGCGCTGTACCGCTTCATGCATCAATGCGTCAACAACCTCTACCAACGCGTGAACCCCGGATGCGCCGACCTAGCGCTGCGGCTGTTTGTGATGTGCGGTGAGGTGGCCGATCAGACGGGCTTCGAAGAATTCAGCTACGAGTTCTTTGCCCAGGCGTTTACGATCTACGAGGACTCGATCAGCGACTCCCGCGCGCAGTTCCAGGCCGTGTGCATCATTGCCGGGGCGCTTCACGGCACGCGGGGATTCTCGAAGGAGAACTACGACACCCTCATCACCAAGGCGGCGCTCCACGGCAGCAAGCTGCTCAAGAAGCCCGATCAATGTCGCGCCGTCTATCTGGCCAGCCATCTCTGGTGGGTGGTGGAGAACCCGCAACGGGGCGAGGAAGACCCGAAGAACGTACGTTGCCTGCGCTGACTCCTGTTCCATCTCAATAAACCACTAAACTGATAACATGATAGCTCTACCGTGACGGCAAGCGCGTCCTCGAATGCCTGCAGCGGGCCCTCCGCGTCGCCGACGCCTGCATGGACACGGCCGTGTCCGTGGAACTCTTCGTCGAGATCCTGAACCGTTACGTGTACTATTTCGACCAGCAGAACGAAACCGTGACCACCAAATATCTGAACGGGCTGATCGAGCTCATCCACTCCAACCTGCAGACCGACAAGGACGAGCCCAACCCCAGCCTCGAGGGCCCCAAGCGCCACTTCCAACGCACGTTGGAATACATCCGATCCCGGGATTACGAAGGCGTAGTCACGGAACCGAGGCAGTAAGGAGGGACTGAACGACCTGTATGAATGAGAGACGCGTCCATTTTAATCACATTCTGATTCAAAGCCTTGATTCAACTTTAAACCACCCACTTTTTCTGATACAATTCTTTTTCTTGTCGTCTTAGCATCCTGTATCGTTTTGCTTCCGTCTATAAGACTATTTATGGTCTGTAAGATTCCCGTTCTCGTACTATGAGTTGGTTTCTATGGTTGAGAGTACGGGGGGCAGGGCGGAGGTCTGCGTGTATCATCATTATCATTACCGTCAGCAACAATCTATCTACCTACCTATTGTCAATCGAACTCCCCCTGGGTGATTGGGTAGATTGAGATTTCCCTGGTGATGAGGATGTACAGTACTCTATAAACCCGTCCATCATTTTGTACAGTACAGCACAGTAAGTAAGTACAGTACATATCTTCTCTCAATTGTAAACCTCAGATCCGAAATAGACTCCCCAAGGGACAGCGCACCTCCCACCTCCCACCTCCCTTGACAGTGACAGTGACAATGACAGTGACGATGACAATATGAGCGACAGTAACAGTTGGGTACAGCCAGAGCAGCGCAGCGCAGGAGAAGGGAGGACAGGCAAAACGAGCGGGAGAGGGATCCCTGATCCCTGCGCTGCTGGCGCAGGGGTAACTTATGGGTAAGTCAACTAAATTAACTAAGTTAAGGGTTACTGTACTCGTTTGCTGTAACGTAGCCCAAGTGAAGTTATCATTACCCACCTGAACACCTGCTTCCCTACCGAAATACCTACCTACTCGTATGAACCTATCCACCTTCTCCCTGATACTAATACTACATCTATAAGTGAAATCCAAGCCAAGGTCTGAAAAGTAGGCTGGGCTGGGCTAGACTGTATTCCCTAGGCATGGCACATGGTATAGCACCGCAAGCACCGCAAGCACCGCGTGCACAGTGTACACAGCACAGCACTGCTCCGCTCCGCTACACACGGTGTACACAGCACAAGACAGCACAGTGTGGATAGCATAGCGCAGCACAGCACAGTACAGCAGCATCTAGGTTATCCCACGCAAACTAAGCATACAACCACAGCCGCAACCGCAACCGCAACCGCAACCGCAAACGAAACGCCTGACCCCATCCCATCCCAAACCATCTACATACAACACACACATACGGGAGCAGAATCTTGAGATCGGAGATGGATGGATGGGTTCTAATCGACTCGAACAAGGATATCATTAATGTTTGGTTCGGCTCGGTTATCACTTCCCGTTCTTCAGGGACGGGAACGGAAGGTTGATAGAGGATGCGGTATGATCTCATCTGATTAGACAGAGTGGCATGTCACCCCAGTGGGAGGGTTTGTGAGGGTAGGAATTCAGGGTCGGGATAGGGGGGGATATTTAGTCCATCGTAACAAAGGTAGGTAAGGTTTGTCTCGGAGAGTAAGACAGAAGGACAACAGGGAAACAAACAGATTGAACAACACGACGCTTTACGTGATCAAGTGATGAAATGATGAAGTCATGAGGATGAGGATGCAAATGAGGTACAGTACGGAGTATCGGACATGGGTCGAAAACAACAATAAACGCCTTTCGTCTTGCCCACAAACATACAGCACGACAAGAGGTTCTCGAACAACAAACAGAAACAAAACGCCTAGAACCCGGTCGGAGGGGAGGTGTATTGCCGTAGCACCGAGGGAGGGTTATTGGCCGTCCCAATCCCAATCCCAGTCCCCGGCACCGTCCCGCTGAAGGCGGCGGCCGGGACACTGCTACTGGGGATGGGACTGCCGATCTCGCCAGGGACAATGCTACCCCTGTGACCTGAGGCGGCACTGTTGGTGTCCGGTTCGAATTTGACATACTCCCCCGTCTCGTCGCTCTTGATCGAGAACGACCCGCCGCCGTTTTGCGTGTTGCCTTCCGTGTCGCAGATGTCGAGGATCTCCTTCAGCGAGATCGCCGGCTCGGTCGGGGATTGGAGCTGCTCCACTTGCCGCAGGACGACATTCACGTCGTGGTAGCCGCCGCCGCCCTTAGAGGGGCTCATCATGTTGAGCTGTTTACAGGCTTGGATCACCAGCAGTCGGATCGTCACAGGTCGAGAGGTGTGCGCTCGATGATGCACTGCGGGCCCGAACGCGTTGCTAGACCAGCCACTCCCTAGTAATCATGTCAGCAGCTACCCACGACAGCCACGCATTCTTGGAGACCTACCAGGTCCAGTTCCCCATGTCGTACCCCCGGGGAAGGGCGAGGTGCCGAAAGGTATTTGTGACCCCCACGTACCCCCGAGGCTAGGGCTGGCCGGGAAAGCACTGTGCTTGGCAACTGTGGCAACAATTAGCATATGTGAATCACATTAACGCGCTGGCATACGTACTGAGAGGGTCTGGGAACAGCGACGGGGCCGCAAAGCTAGCGCGAGTTGGCCCGGGCAGGGAACCCGGAAGTGTTGCCCCGGGAAGTGACTGGGACAGGTGCGACGCAAACGGAATGTCCGTATCGTCCAGGAGCGCACTGCTACCGAGCTGCGCACTCAGATCGTCCACATCATGCTGACTGCGACGGGCGTTGTTCGGGTCTTGTTGCGTGCTGGAAGGGCGTTTAATGGGGCTGGGGCGGGTGATAGGAGACGGTTGAGCATGCGCTTCGAGAGGTGATCGCTCAAACGAGCTGGAAGGCTGTCGGGAGTGAGCATGAGACAAACCACTCGCCTGCCCAGAGAATGCACTGGCCATGGGCTGTTGACTATGGAATGGCAAACCGTGCCCAGGATCCAGTGGGAATCCTCGTCCAGGGGGGATAGGGCGAGAGCCATTCATCCCAATAGGAATCGGGATTCCATTGGGCGCAGGGAATCCTCGCAGCTGATTGAGAAGCGGTCCTGAGTGTGGCGGGTAGGTAGGTAACTCATGGCCGATAGGAGCTCTAGAGACCAGGCCCAAGCCAGGCGGATGGGACGGCGAGAACCCGGGCGGATGGGATCGACCTAAAGATCCAAGAGGTGACAAGGGGGTTGACGGCTGAGGATGATGAAGCATAGGCTGCTGTCCATGGCCCTGTTTGGACGTAACGCTCGAGGCTCCGGACGACTGAGACGGCGCCATCGAACGAGGGGAGATGGAGACCTGCGATGGTTCGGTGCTAGCCGGCTGGGACCGAGGCGACGAGCTATGGGAGCCCTGCTGGGACGTCTGCCGGGGTCTTGACGGCGTGGGCGCCTGGGGCACTACTGGGGCAGTCGTTGAGAAGTGCGGCGACTGGAACTGGCCCGGACCCAGACCTTGGGGGTGGTTCACATTGGCGGAGAGAGGCATCAGCCCGGGATGCGAGGTGCGTTTGGCGTGCTGAGCCTCGCTGGCTGCAACGTTCCGAAGTTGTTCCTCCCGAACCTTGCGCTCTCGTTCCTCCTTGATCAGCTTCTCCCGCAGTTCGCGCTCCTCACGTTCCTTTTGCCGTGCTTCCTCGCGCCGCTTCTTCTCTTGCTCCTTCTGCTCCCGCTGCTTGCGTTCCGCCTCTGCCTGTCGTTCGCGTTCCTCGCGCAGTCGTCGTTGCTTTTCGGCCTCTTTGCGGGCACGTTCCGCTTCCTGGGCCTTCCGCTCCGCCTCGCGCTTCTTCCGTTGCTCCTCGCGTTTCTTTCGCTGTTCCTCGAGCTTCTTCTCCTGCTCCGCCTTGGCCGCCGCCTCCTCCGCCGCCTTCTCGGCCTCTCGGCGTGCCTTTTCCTCCTCCTTGGCCAGCTTCTGAAGCCGCTTCCTCTCCTTGCGCTTCTCTGCCTCGCGAGCCTTCTTGGCGTTTCGTTGCTCATTCCGCGATTCCTCCTCCATCAGCTCTTCAATCAGTTTCTGCTGACGCTGCTCTGCGACCTTTTCTCGGTAGGCCGTCAGCACGCGCTGCTCGAACATGCGCGCGGCAAATATCTGGAACATTCGCCGGCCCTCTTCCATGCGTTGCTCTTCCGTCATCGCATCCTGCAGGCAACTGTCAGCTTTCACGGCATCAATACCCAGCCAATGCCCGGAGCAGACCATTTCATCTTCCTCGTAATCTTCTTCTTCTTGACTATCGTAATCTTCATCCTCTTCATCGTCATAGTCTTCATCATCCAGGGGCCCGTGATTGTGACCGCTATGGAGGGTTTGATGTGCTGCCGCGATGCCATACTGTGTGTCCTCTTCCCGCTGCATTCGACGCTCGGCCAGTTGTTCCATCATGTCAATGAAATGCTTCCCATCATTCTTCAACAGATCGTCTGCAACCGTAAGGATTCCGTCTAGAAAAAAGAAACGCAATCAAATCAGCATCAACCCAGACAGATCCAAGCGCTCGTGATTGTCCCTACCTTTAACAGTCAGACTGTTCCCAAAGGCGAAGAAATCTGCGCGAGCCGCACGGGTTTCCTCGTCTTCGTATTCGTCGTCGCTGTACGGTTCCTCGTCCTCGTCATCCTCGTCGTACTCCTCCTCTTCCAGGTCTTCGTCATCCTCCGGTAACTCATGGATCCGGCCCCGGGAAGGGTGGTATTGGCCTTGCGTGCGCGTATGGTGACCAGGCGACCGTAGAGGAGGGTGGTAGAGCCGAGGGGGCGGGATCATCGGGGCGCCCTTTTCGAACGACCCTTGGTTGTTGTTGGCGTACTGTTCCAGCTCCTCGTAGTAAGCGTCGTAGAGCACTTCCAACTCCTCTTCAATGGCCGTCCGTTTCCTCCCGCACACGGTGCAGCTGCACGAATGTTTCTGCTGCTCCTTCATCTTCTTCAGCACCGCGTCCTTCTCCACCTTGACCAGCTGTCGCCGTTCCTCCTCGCCCAACTCCAGCCAGAAAGTCTTGATGTTCTCGCGTTCTTCCTGCGTGGAGGTGTTCCAGATGCTGCGGTCTTTGGTCGACTTCAGGATGGTGTGCGATCCGAGGTGCGGGGGTAACGGCGGGGGGAGAGGATGCGACATGGAGATCGATGGGGTCGACAGCGGGGTGGAACTTTCGTCGCCATGCGCCTGCGAGCCCGCCCGGCTTTTCTTGCCTTTCTTCTTCTTCGACTTCCGGGTTGCTGTTGCTGCCGCCGCCGTCGCGGGTTGCTGACCGTCCCCACCTTGTCCATTAACAGAGTTCCCGGGTGAATGCGACTGCGCCCGATCGAGTGGTTGGTCGTGCTCGTCGTCCTCGTGGTAGGCGTCGCCGTTGGGAGCAGGTTCATCGAAATCATGCTCATCGGACAGCTGGCCATCTGCGTTGGGTTGACTGGATCCGTTCTGCTCGGGGCCGTGTTCGCTGTCAAGCTGACGCTCCGCGGCCAGTCGGGCCGCCTGCTTCTGCCTGCGTTTCTGCTTTTTGCGATTTACTGACACGGGCTTAGAGTCTGAGGGGGAGGGTTGACGAGGGTCGGAAGGCGCATGGACATCGCCATTCGCGGCGTGTGCAGGGATGGTCGTGGGTGCCGGCTCGGACATTGTGGGACCGGAACTCGATCGAAACGGTTGCGGCGGTGCCATGGTGAGGTAGGTTGCTTAGGTTGTGCTCTGACGCCGACGGAGCACAGGAAGGGGGGGGGGAGGCGTAGATTCAGGGTTCTGAATGGTTTCCCTAGCTAGTCACCATGCTGTTTCAACGATCCCCGGAGAGGGTAAAAAGTCAGCGAAAGGGTTCCGCAAGCGCAGGAAGGCAGGAAATGGAGAAAGAGGAAGGGAGCACACGAAGCTCACCGGAAAGTCGTCGGGCGATAGTCGACAAGCGAAATAAGGTTATATGAAGGCAGAGAATCAAGTAGAGCCCGTTTAGGGGAGGAGTGTGTTGATGGAGGCGACAGTTGGGATGTGGAGAGAAGAGGCGCGCAAGGTGAATTGGTTGGAGGGTTGGAGGGTTGGAGAGAATTGGGTAGGGTCGGACAACGGACAACGACAAACGGAGAGCGAGCCAGGGCGGAGAGGGGTGGAAAGGACCCGGGCCGCACCAGTCGTCAACTGGGAGGGGAAGGAAGCGCGCACCGGCGGTCGGGATAAGTTATAGGCGATTGCGAGGGGGAGGACAACGAGGGAGACCCAGACAGGAAATGAAAGCGCGGATCAGCAAGCGGGAAGTACGGAAGTATGAGTACGTAAGTACGTAAGGATGTCACAAGAGGGGAAGTATTAAGATGGCCATGGAGGAGGAGCAGGAGGAGAGAGATGCAGTGAGGGCACATCGGCGATACGCGCAAGATTGATTTGATTGCTGTGGTCCCGGAACAAACGTTGGCCTTTGGATGGCTGCCCTGCCGCTCGCCGACTCGCCGCAACTGGATTAGCCGCCGCAAGCGAGTCTCGCTGCCTTTCTGCCTGACTCTTCTCCTGCCTACGTTTACCGTTGAAAAACCTACTTCCAACATCAAATCATCTTCATCTCTACTAGGTAGTCTAGATTAACTCGGGCGAACCTGCGAACCTCTGAAAGGCTCCGTCTGGTCTCCCAACTCCCACCCACCATACAGACCGCCTTAATCTTACTCCCGCCACCAGACCCGGTCTAAGCACCTTGCTTAGGCCACTACTAGCTCGGCGTGTATTCGCGGGAAACATGCCGGGAAAGAGAGGGGTTGGTGCTGCTTGAGTGGTTCTGCCAGCAAAGGCACATGAACACGCTGCCATAGATTCTTTTACTCCCTCGGCGTGGGCTGACCATACTTGCCTACTTTACTTCAATCGACGCACAGGGGGACAGAGTTGTTCAAATATTTTCATTCATTCATGCATCCGATGTGCCATCTACATTTGGTTCACAACACTAACACGGAAGTGTTATCTAACACCTACGATGTGTTCTAAGTTCACTGAACTTAAAAACCTTCAGTTGAAACCAAGCTAACCAAAGATCAAGTTCTTGATCTGCTGCATCATCCCTGTGTCTTCCTCATGATCCCGCTCATACCCCACCGCAGCCCTAGCCCGGTCTTCTTCATCGAAAGCCTGAGCCGCCGTGAAGTCCATCTCAGTTGGCTGGACAAGCTTCGAACGATAATAAATCTGGAAAGGATCAACAGCACCCTTCTATCGTTTGCGGCCGACTAACCTACCTTGTAACCAAAATAGTCCATGAAGAACAACGGCGCAGCAATGTAAGTGGAAAACCAGGACTTGGCGGATCCCTTCTCACCAAAGGGAAAGCAGGCCAGATAGAACTCGCAACCTGCAATGAAGAGAACAATCACCAGTGCGAAGTACTGCAGGTAGGGGGCCGCAGGTGCTCGGAAGGGTAGTGACTGGGTGCTGATGCCCTGCGCGGCGAGGCCTCGTCGGAATTGGATGTGCGAGATGAAGATGCTGGACCACTGGAACAGGGTTGAGACGGACACCTAGTTAATGTTAGCTTCAAAAGTCGAAAACAAGTCCTCGGAGATGCAGGGTTTCGCACCAGTGACGAAAACCAACTGTATACTACAGCACCCGTATCGTTGCAGTTCAGGTAGGCTAAGCCTCCCCCGAGGGCGGTGCTGATGGCCAATGATACATATGGTCGCCCGGCAGAGTCTTTCCGTCCAAACACGCCGTGGATGATCTTCATGTCCGATAAAGCTGTCAGACTACGGCTGGCAATATAAGTGCTGGTGATTCCACAGCTGATCACCGTCAAAAATATGAAGCCATTGATGATATGAGCCAGCCACATCACCCCTGCACGCTCGATAGCAATAACAAAGGGACTTCCGAGTGTGCCGCTCCCGTTGACCAGGTTCTCGTCATTATACGGCACGCACATGCCCATGAGCCAGATGTTGACGACGAAGAAGGCGAACATGCGCCAAAAGACCGGATAGACGGTTTTCTTGATGGTCCGGCGAGGGTCCCGTGCCTCGCCGGCAATGACAGCGATATGTTCTCCGCCGCCAAAGCTGAACAGGGCTTGCACAAAGGCCTTGGAAATCCCCTTGATGCCATTGTTGAGAGCACCGGGACTCCGCCAGTAGCGGAATTCAATCGCACCATGCGTGGCTGGAATCCCACCGGAGGTCATGATGATCATAAAGAAGATCATGACCCCGATGGCTAGACATTTGACAAACGACATGACATACTCGACGTGGCCGTAGAGCCGAACCCCGAATGAGTTGGCCAAGGCGATAATGACCAGGAAAATGGTGATGTATGCTGCAAGGGGGACGACCTGGGTCTGCGGCCAGAACTCGAGCACGGAAACTGCCGCTGTGATCTCAGCGGGGATACAGATCACCCACTATCCATTGTTAGGCGTATCGAGGGTCATGTCCGTGGAGATGAAGGCTCACAGAAAACCAGAAGTTGATCCCCACTGCAAACCCAAATGCAGGCTCCACGTACTCGATGCATTGTCGGATAAATCCACCATGGACCGGCTTGTATGTTGTCATCTCTCCAACCGAGATATACTGTAGGTAGACGACCATCCTGTTGGCGGCGAGTGGTTAGGACGTGAACAAGACAGCATCTTTTGTTGTGGACATACGCGGTGATAGTATAGGCGATGGCAATGCCACCCGGGCCCGCTACATTTGATGGTCAGATCCGTAGTTCATTCCCAGGGCTGATATTGTCTCACCATACTTGAGGGCTGTGCCTGTACCGACCCATCTGACACATTATGAGACTTATTTTCCTAACACAAATAGGAGGCAAATTGGACATACAAGCCAGTGCCGATGCCTGCCCCGAAGGTCATCATCATGATTTGGCGACGGCCCAGCGATCGATGATAGCCGACATCTTCGTTGGCTCCCAGGAGCTCCGATGTGCCTTTCGCAAAGTCATCCCTTTGCTCGAGATCAGCGATGATCTCCACATTGTGTGGTTCCGCGGCCGTTTTTTTCGTCGTCATGGCTGTTGGCGTCTCGTGTACTGCCGAGTTGATGAGAATGAGTCACTTGGAATGCCCTGCGACATCTTATATCTCCTACTGTAGATAGCAAAGTAGAGATACCATTGGTCGTTATGCACCCATATCTAATCATTTCGGCGTGAAGCCATATACAACAAGATAAGACTTGGACGATAGCCGAGTCACAATGTACGGCGCAGACAGCCAGTCATAGGTCTTCGGATCTCACCTCCTGGCTTCTCCTCACTTGGTTGCGTCAGGCCAAGTAGAGCAAGAGTGGGGTGCAAAGGAGTCCAAGGCTAGCCACGACCACATTCGAGCATATAAGAAGCGATATGAATACTCTTCTGGTCGCAGCCAGAAACCTAACGTCCCACACCGACAAGCATACCTTCTAGTGTCCAGAAGCATCATTATGTCTAGCAGCAAGAACGTGGTTTTCGACATCGTGGGCACTCTGGTTTCGTATGATGTCCTATTCGATGCGATCGACGAGCAGATGGGCGACCGACTCCGAGCGGAGGGCATCAAGCCGACGCTGCTGGGATACACCTGGATCGAAGTTGCAGAGCGGGAATACACCTATCTTAGCATCAGTGGCCAGTATAAGCCCTTTGCGACGTGCTTTGAGCTGCTGTTCTGGCGCATGCTGCACATGGCAGGCATCTCCGAGCCCCGAAGCTTCGCCACGGAAAAGGACCTCGAATTCATCATGGAAAAGTATGCCAAACTTGGATTGCGACCGGGCGCAGTAGAATGCATCACCAAGCTGCGCGACGCTGGGTACACGGTTTGGGCTTTCACAGCTGGGGACCTGGCGAGAGTGGGGGGCTACTTCGCAGAGGCCGGTCTCGAATGGCCCGCAGAGAATCTGCTGTCCTGCGATACCCAGGGGATAGGAAAGCCTGATCTGCAAGCGTACCAGCCGCTCCTTGAGCAACTGTCACAGAATGGGCGGCCATGGTTCGCTGCCGGTCATATGTGGGACGTTTCGGCGGCTCGCTGTGCGGGGTGAGTGGTGCAGCATCACAACCGGGTTCCGAGGCTGCTAACACGTCTTAACAGTTACAAATCCGCTTATTGTTCCATTTGGGAGAAGGAGCCGATCACTGAGTTGTTTGGAGATATGGATGTCATGGCAGAGACGCTTCCCGAGATGGCTGATAAGATCATTGCAGCACAGTAACTTGATGACGGTGTTACTTTTATGATAACAGTGTGTCGTGGTGGGTCAGTCATGTTGGAGACGCTGCATGTTCCGGCGAACGAAGCGTTGCTCAAGCTGTCCCAGAAGTTAGAGATAAGAATAGTAGAGTCTTATCTACACTTGGAGTTGCTTTCGACAAGGCCACAGCAGTTCCGGAGTGCTTGTTCGAGCGCGAAGCTAGCTATTATGGACAGATCTGCGAGGAATTTTCCTAGCTGGGTCATTGCAAAGCGTTGGTCACTATTGTTTGTCTCGTAGCGATAAGTTGGTTATGCCTTGTAAGTCAGGTGTTCTCGTAAGAGTGAAGGCTTAATTGCATCTTAGTCACGTCAGCATGTTCAGCAGAAAGATCCATGCACCGATATTTAGAGAATAAGACAAGTGTGAAAATAGCACCCAATGGATGGGCTCATTTCCGTCCTCGTCCTCTTCTTGGTCATGTAGAGTAGGAATCACAAGGCCTCGAGGCATAAGCACTTCCTTTCTGCCCTGCCCCGGCACGGCGAAAGAGAGCGATCGCATAGTCTAGAGGATAGATAACCATCATGGATACTAAGAAATACCGTAACCGGACTACTGCGGGAAAGATCTCCCTACCCCGGACACGGGCAATGCCAGAGCTAATCCCGTTGGGGCATCACCCTCCGCGGAACTCCCGCGGAGCACCATGCCCTCCTGTCTATAAAAACAGGCGACCACCTCTCCTGGATTGCTTTTCAATACATGCCAAACAATCATCATATTACCATGCCTGTTATTCAGAAAGTAAGTGATATTCCACAGAGTCTCGGTAAGTGCTCCTGACATCTATCTATCTAGGCTATCATTATCGGTGCGGGCCCGGCCGGCCTTGCTGCTGCACTCAAACTACATCGCGAGAACAGCATCCATGTTACAGTGTACGAGCTAAGACCTGAGCCAACTACGATTGGTGGGGCCATAGGCATATTTGCCAATGGCTTGCGTCTACTTCATCGTTTGGGTCTGCACGACGCCCTCCTTGCCCGCGGCTCTTCCGTCGACAGATTCCATCTGCAATCACTGCAATACGGCAGCATTGGCAGCACTGATATCTCAGCCTGGGCGGCGGAAAGGACTGGCTTTGGATATTTGCGCATTCTCCGGCGAGACCTACAGAGCGTTTTGTTCGACGCCGTTCATGAGGAGCAGATTTTGGTCCATTTCGACAAACGACTGACCTCGATCACGGAGGATGCATCCAGCGTAACGGTAACCTTCTCTGACGGCTCAACCGAGACAGCCGACATACTGATTGGATGTGACGGAATCCATTCCAGCGTGAGACGGTTGCATGTTGACCCGCCCTGCAAGCCCGAATACTCCGGCATTGCGGGTAGCGGTTCCATTATCTCGACGGCTGGTCTACCGGAGAAGCTTAAAACGTCGGCCAACATAATCCCCACCACCGCGGGGTTTATGGCAACATTTCCGTGTAGTGCGTCCGGGGACCAGCTTTACTGGCTGTTTTCGCGGGAGACGCCCATTCCGTACTCTGAGTCCGGCAACGAGCGGGACGGGTGGGAAGAGCGACGTCAACAAGAGATGGAGATGTTCAAGGCCACGATCAGAGCAGTGTCGAAGCCCGCTCGAGGCGAATGGAGGGGCATCCTGACTGAGTTGGTGGACCGCATGGAATTTATCGGGTTCTATCCGGTCTTCCGACTCCCGCTGGGTGGGAAATGGTATACATCTCGGGCAATC